AGATCACGAATTTTACAGATCGACGAACATAAAATGATGACTGGAATAGTGTTTTCGACATCTTGACGGCACAATCTGAATGCTAAATGGAAGGTCGATCATAACCTCCTGCTTCAGAATCGAATTTAATAGCATAGGGAGGGAGGGTCTTACGACTTTTGAAGTGAATAAAAAGACCACTGTAGAGAATAGACAGTTGCTTATAGCTCGATCGACGCCGACTGCCTGCTCTCTGGAATCGTCGAGTTATTGCGACGAGAAATGAGGATGATGGTTCACCGCATTCCGTCAGGACGGCCGAGACATTGCACTGCAGAGAACAATATGGTAGAGGAAAGGTGAGCACGACGCGCGAGTTTGGAAGATGGTATTTGAAAAAACCCCGCGATCGGTCGGACCGGAACTCGAATCGGTTATTCTTTTTATTTATTTTATGATTTTAGATTTTTAGATTTAAATCGATTATTTTTAGTGATTAAATTAATAAAAACATTTGAATAATATTCCTAAATTAAAAAAAAAAATCAAATATATACTTAGAAAAAATTTTAAAATAACAATAATATCATTTATGTTCTTAATAAAAAAATTTATTGTTTGATACTTATGGAAATGAGTGATTATTAAAATTTAAAAGTATTAGAACATTAATAAAAAATTTAAAAATTGGAACCGTTTTATTTATTTATTTATATTTATGGTATTTTTAAGCAATGTAGTAAGTGTTTTTTTTGTTTGTTCAACGGTCAAATGCCACTTTTTTCTGGGCCAGTGTTAGCTGAATAATGGCTCAGTAGTTTTGTTTCATCTCGGATTAATATGGGATCTTACAATTTACTGGAGCTTAACGACCTCACTTTTACACTGTCCAATAACCATCTCTAATGCCATTTGTAACAAAAAAAATAGTATCATTGTCAATCTCACAATTCGAAAATTCGAACACATTGATTATTAGGGAGAGGTTTAAGCGTGGATGGATAGGGAGAGACAGAAAAACATAAAACATTAATATTTTTCATTAAAATCATATGTTTTTCCAAATTTATATGATCTTGATCATCAATTAAAACACAGCCCACTTCAAATCCAGTGGCTATAAAACTGATTATCAGAACACGTCGAAGGACCGTTCCCCGGCCGCCGGATTCCGCCATGACTGCTCGAAGAACCAGCCGCCTTCATCTCTGCATCATTCTCCCATCCATAAACCAATCGTTTAATCCTCTCCGTTGGTTTCGTTGCTCCAAATTCATACACCACATCTTCAATCTACTCCCACAACCATCCAAACCATTCAACGTTAAACAACGTTAAACCAAAACAAAAACCTTAAACCAACACAAATACCTCAGCATAAAGCGAATACAAGACACTGTTCCCGACAACAGAATAACTGACATTAACGATCTCAGCTCGCTCCTCGTAAAATATATGAATTATCTCATAAAATATAAACCGATCCTCCTATCAAATCTCATATTGGTTAGAGCAGAAAATAAAGCATAAGTAGAAACAAGAAAGAAAACTCAAAGAGGACAATATTTACTCCCGGTAAAGTTTGGACTGATATACCTCCAACCCAGTACTCAAAACAACCTCGACAGCCGAACCCATCTCTTTGATTCTCAATTCAGGTCCATTTCTATTCCGGCTTCTCGTCGGAGCCATGTACGACGACGACGAAGATCGTCTCGTAAACCTCTCCTTCTTCTCCTCGTCCTTCTTCAGCTTCAACTCGAGTGATTTGATGTACTTAATAGCTTCTTCTATCTGATCCAACACCGACAATGGCAGCTCCTACAAGATTTGTGGAGACCCAATTAAGAACATATTAAAAAAATTGATGGAAAATAGAAAGAAAGAAAGAACGAACATTTGAGTGATGGGTTGGGAGGAGAGAGTTCAATTTGGAGTAAAGCGATTTCATCTTGTTTCTTCGATTCTTCTCCAGCACCTTTCTCTCGACCTTGTTATGGGTAGCATTTTGTTGGGTTCCTTCGTGAGTTCCCTCCATGGAATGGTATAATCATATTCAAATTGTAGAGCCAAATGAGTAGCATTTGTATAGATCTGGGGATTGTTAGGAAGAGAATAGATAGCCACTGCCATGCCATGTGGACCGCCGCAATGGTGGAAAATAATTGCGAAAGTACGAGAAATTTAATACACGCATTACTCACATTGGCCCTTCTTTTTGGAGAAATTATTGGAGTTTTCCCTAAAGTTCTTTCTTTTGTCAGGTTGTATGTGATCTCAAATCGGTTACGAGTAAAAGGAAGCATTTTTTTATATGGGTGTGGAAATCTCTCTCTAGTTGTAGATAAGTTTTAAAATCGTGAGACTGACAGCGATATGTAATAGGTCAAAGCGGACAATTTCTGTTAAGGTTGGAGAGGAGAACGAAGCATTTCTTATAAGGGTGTGGAAATATCTCCCTTGTAGATGTGTTTTGAAACCATGAGGCTGACGGCGATACGTAATGGGACAAAGTAGACAATTTATGTTAGCGGTGGTTAGAGAGATGAACAAAACGGTTCTTATAAGAGTGTGAAAACGTCTATCTAGTATACACGTTTTAAAATTATGAGATTGACAGTGTTACGTAATGGACCAAAGGGAACAATTTATGTTAGTGGTGGGGTGGAGAGTGGAATGAACCTTTCTTATAAGGGTGTGAAAATATTTCCATTGTAGATGTGCTTTGAAACCATGAGGCTGACGACATAAGGGAAATATTCTTTAGAAGGGTTAATGACCATACATAAGAGAATAAAACAGACAATTTCTGGTAGCGATGTAATTGGGTTGTTACACATTCTTTGTTCCAAACTTAGATTTTGTTGTTTGTTACAGACAACTAACTAACTTTCAAGAGATAAATATTGTCTACTTTGAACACAAACTTTCAGTGACTTTGCTTTTGATTTCTTAAAGGTGACCCGTAGCAATGAAGATAATATCTTTTATTTATTTACTAATACAAATAATAAATATTTAAACTTTATGATTCACCTACATTAAAAAAAATAATAATAAATAAATAAATAAATGTACGATAGATATTAAAATTTGTATTTAATGCCTTGTAATCATTGACTTATTCGATTAATATTTAACATTTTCCATCATGAAATTAGAAAATATTAATTGTAAATGATCAATTTTGGAGCTGTTTGTTAGGTTACAAGATGGGTAACATGTTTCCATGCAAACGTCCTCGCGTGCTTTTTAAATACAAAAAAACGAGCGCTATTGGTTAGAGACAAGACTTTTAGACAACAACATCATGATGAGTATCTTTTCATTAAAACTTGTCCCAATGTTTCTCTACTTTGTTCAAAATAAGCGTGTCAATTTTCTCTTCAAAGATTTTGTCATTTTGATTTTGGTTAGGGTAGAGATGTGATCTCTTAACGACCCATAAACTCTTCTTTGACCAAGTCGATACTAAGGTCATTCACTGAGTATTTTTTTCATATACTAAAGTTATGTGCTATTGTTATATTTCAGGTAAAGGCAAAACACTCATATATGGTTGACAGCGACATCACATCAAAGACAATAACACTTGCATGGGGTAGTTGCGTTTATTTTTCGTAGATCTTATATTAGTGTGTGTCATGGTTATTTTTTTTTATATTTTTCTTCGTTTTATTTTAATTTACTTCAAATATATTTTTTTTATATTGTTTTAAGATCTTTTCGTAAACATATAAGTTCATGATATCGTATTTATAAAGTCGTTTTAAACAAATGTTTTTCCGTTATGTCATGCATGTGATAGCAACCTTAGGCTAGTAGAAAATTAGGGTTTATTTTGGTACCACATTTTGATCGTTATATTTTCTAAAAACAACCATTTTGACGTTTTTGAGAGTAATCATTAAAATAAAATAGCTGACAAGTGATACAATTTTAAGAACTCTAAAATTAAACGTGCTTTGTTTTAAGTAATTTTATATTGAAAGACTTCTTAAAAAACATATGAGTGAGAATAAAACATGTTAAAAATACTCGTGTTAGTTTGAGTGAATATTAATATACGATCATGTTGTAGGAAGATATAATATATTATATCGGTAATATATATAATATAAAGTATTACTTGTATAAAAGAGTTATTAAGATGTATCTCTTGATCATTAATAATGTATATAACTAATATATTAACCTAAAGTATATTACTGAGTTGTAATTTCAAATTAAAAGTTTATTAATTTATTAAAAGCTTTTTAAATTACATCAAATAGATGAACGTACAATTTAAAAAATTAATAAGTCAAGTCAAACTTTATAAGATTAAAACTTTAGGTTAATTTCAATGAAGTAGACAGATCACTACCTTGATATTAAAACTTTAGGTTAATTTCAATGAAGTAGACAGATTACTACCTTGATTTTCTATTTATTTGTTCAAACATAACAAAAATTAAAAAAAAAATTAAAGAAGGGGCATTTTTTTCAAATTTGGAGACTAAATTTTCAAATTGTCACTTTATAATTTGTTTTTTTTTTTAATTCATAAATAAGACTTAAAAAAAAGGAAAAATAAATAAAAATATAAAAAATATCGTTTTTGGGAGTGGTTTAGAAATATCTCCGTCAATAGTCTTGACTCTCGTCCTTTACTCAACTCGATTTTCTACCTCTTTTAGAGGTCTAGAAAAATTCCGACCCGTTTGATAATGATTTTGAAAAATGAATTGCTTTCTTTTATTTTCGAAGTATTTGCTATCTTAAATATATATATATAAAAAATTCTTAATAAGTTCTTAATTTTGATTTACATTTATGTTTTTTTTTTTAATTAAGATACGTTATATTCCCTCTCTTAAAAGAAATAGATTTTTTTATAATATTTATTTATTTTCTTAAAATTTTAATAGATAGTTTTAAAATTCATAAGATATTTAGGTTAATTTATATACAATTAAAATAATTTAAAAGCGATTTATGCATTTTGTACTTAATTTCATTAAAATTAGTTTACGCTTTAACAAAATAACTTTTTTTCTCCAAAAATACCATAAAATTAAAACATTTTATGGCAAAAACATAGAAATTACAAAATTGCAATTTCTCTCGACTCTCATCTTCCACAGTCACACCACTTCGACCGCTATGGCCGGCGGCAGGCTCTGCAGCAGATCATAGGTAAGCATGGACGCCTTCGCCTTCGGCGGCCGGTCGGATAATCCAACCGGCAGCGGCGCCGGCGTCGACTTTTCGCACTTCCCTAACCATTTGGCCTGCATGTATCTGTACTTCCTCCATGGCCCTAAGTGCATCTTCTTTTCCTTCATGCACTTCTCCGCCGCATTGCACAGAATTTTGATCGATTCTCGAAGTTTCTCGGCTTTTCCGATGAATACTTCCGGCAATCGTCTGACCAATCGCTTGTACTCTTCGCTTGCTCTGGCTATTTCGAATTCCTCTCTGAAATTCATCTCGATTATGACTCTCTCATTCGGATTCCAATCGTCCGCCACTTCCAAATAACTGTGATCCCCTGCGCGTAAAAAAGCCCTAATTATCAAATCCCTAAAATTGAAGACGATGAGAACTAACGCTAGGGTTACAGTATTCTGTTTACCTGATGGAATTTCCGGCGAGCTTTTCCATTTGGACTTACAAACGGCGCAATTGAAGCCGGCGTTTCTCAGATAATTACATATTTCCCTCTGTACACACTCCCGACAGACCGAAACCTCCGCCGGTCTCCGGCAACCGCAATCAATGGACTTTAAATTCATTTCTCTGAGCGCAGTCTTCGTTGCTTTCCAGATTTTTAACTCAATCGAATTGGTCCTTTTCAAATTCGCCTACAAAAAAGAAAGAATCAGAACAAAATCACACCAATGAAATCACGTAACGAAATTCCTTTACCTGAAGAACTTCCTTCTGCGATTTCCAGAAGGCTCTGTTTTCTTTAACGATGGAAGAAGTTTCTCCGTTCTGATCTCCGTCGTTGCCGGAATCATATGAACTTTCCGACGGGTTCTCCGACTCTTCCGGGAATATATCGATGAAGCTAGCCGATATGTCAGACATTTTTTCGAAACTTCGTTCGGAGCCACCCGATCCCGACGACTAGCTTGATTTTTCTCCGTTGGATTTCATTGCTCTGGTTGTTCGTCGAACACGTCGCTGAAATTTTAAAATTTTATAGCCCAAATAATCGTAATCGACCCCTATCACGTGGGACCCATTCCACTGCCAACGAGGCAAACAGATTTTAAATTATATTTTGAATAAAAATCTAACAATTGTTAGTTTATTTTCTAACATATTTGAACTATTATCGAGGATGGATAGATTTTGAATTTCAGTTTATCGTTATGAATAACCATATTATGATAATTATATCAATTACATTTTTTTTAATTTAATAATATGAAATACATTTTTTTTTAATTTAAGAATAACCTCATAATCCATATTATTAAATACAAAAAAGTCCACCTATATTAAAAAAATGTCAGAATCTTCGTTTTATAATTATTAAAAGATATTTTAAATTCGTCACGTGAAAAAAATATTTCGTAAGGGAATTTTTAAATTATGAACGCGTATCATTAAATTAAAAGAAATTTTTAATTTAATAATACAAGGCGATTAATTTGAATAATTTTTTAATCGAGACTCCTCATTCTATCATGTTAAATACGAAAAAGTCCACATGTTTAAAACATTATGCACGTCAAGAATGAATATGTGTGTGAGATCCTATATCGGTTGGAGAGGAGAACGAAACATTCGTTTTAAGAGTGGAAAACTCTCCCTAAATGACAGCATTTTTAAATTGTGAGGCTGACAGTGATATATAACGGGCTAAATCGGACAATATCTATTAACGGTGGGCTTAGGTTATTACAAATGATATGTGAGCTAGACACTAAATAGTGTGCTAGCGAGAACCCAAGACCCTAAAGAGGATGGATTGTAAAATCTCACGTCGGTTAGAGAAGAGATTCTATACGAATGGGAGAGTGGAACTAAATATTTCTTATAATTGCCACGTGGCAGATGGAGATGGAGGATCCGACCGGTTAACTCGGCCCTCTACCTATAATATAAATAATAAAAATGGTTGGTAAATCGAATATTCCATATAAGATAGATGATGCCGCTGCCAATTTCTAGAATCTAGAGTTGAATGGACTAAAATACCCTTCCATATAAACTTTTCAGCTTATAGTAAAATAATGATATAAATGGTTGACAAAGAGAAGAGACAATTTCTCCTGAGGGGCCTACTCTCAAGTTTAATCTTGACCAGGCATTTTTTTTTTTCATTTAATTAAAAAACGTTCAAGACGAACATAGCTTAGTAAATGATGCAAATTCGTTCACTTGAGCTCGGAATTTCAAATCCTCATACCCCGCTTTCATGATTATCGACCAAAAAACCCTCGAAAAGTTCAAATCATATCACTTCCAAACATGTAGTGAACACGAACATAGCCCAACAGGAATTGATATGAACTCATTGGCTTGGGTTCGAAAGTTCAAATCATCATACCTCACCTTCGTCATTATCGATCAAAAAGCCCTTGAAAACTCTCTCGGCCACAATAATGTATTGTCTACTTATATCACTCTCGAGTATGAGATATCGAGATACCAAAAAACCCTTGAAAACTCTCTTGACCACAATAGTGTTATCTCTACTTATATCACTTTCGAATATGGGCTATCGAGATTTTTTCCCGTCTACATCCAAAATAGTGCCTAAAACTCTCAGATCCATACAATCTTTGTTTGTAACGTTACATTGGTACTTCACCACCCCCACCACCCCCAGTACCTGAAAGTATCCTCAAATCAGGTAAGAATAAATAAAAACACTTATAAGAAATGTTTCATTCTCTTCTCCAACCCGGAGCTTACCGATAAAATTTTGATTTAGATTAAGATTTAAAAACTAGATATTAGTTTTCCAAAAAAAAAAATACAAACAAAGAAATCTAACAAATCTATGGTTGCTATTTCTGTACAAATTATCAGCATCTAAGAACAAGAAGAATGAAGAACAAATGGCAAACACCACGGCAGTGTCGGGTGCACTCAAAAATCACAGCAGTGCTTCACAACCACCTTTTATACAACAACATATGAACCAAAAATCTACACAAACAAATCACTTTTGGATTACACAACTCGAGCCATATCAGATCTCAGGTCTCTCCAACGGTCTTTTCTGCTGCCCGGTGCGAGCGATCTCGGTAATCTATCTCATACTCCATGGCTCAACATGAGATGTTTTCCAGTTGTTGCTCTCGAACCCTTTGACTGAATGTTAGCAGCTTTACCGTGTCGTGCTTGTCGAGCATATTCTTGAATTTGACGGTCTTTCTCTTTTAGAATTTTATCCAAGTTGTTTGATGGACCAAGGAGTGGACCAGAGGTATAAAGCTTGTTCATGTCTGTCCCATAAGCAAACTGAACCACATAATGAACAAAAATCAGCATCTCAGGCAGCAGAACATCATTCATTCATTTGATTTGATTAGAACACAGCTCAAGATAGCATAGCACTAGGATTTTTATCTTGATTCATGTAAACTACTTAGTAAGAGGAAAGAAAAAACGAACCGGGGACTGTTCTTTAGCACAAGCTTTTTCATTCTCTATCCGGTATGAATCTGCACCTCGATTTGCATAAAATACTCGCTCCTGCTTTCTTGTTGACTCAGACTCCCTAACGAAGTCAGGCAATCTGCCTACTTCTGATCGTGATGGACCCGGTCTATCGTAGGGATGTTCAGATGTATTAGACCTCGTCGCTACTAAACGGGATAACACTGAGAGATTGGATCCATCAAGCAACATTGAATGATCATCAAGTTGCTTTCTTGATTTCATCCAATCTGGTCTGCTAATTAGCGGTCCTGAATGTGAAATCCTGCCTGTATCTGAACAAATTTCTGTGACAGATTGGTTTTGTCTGGGAGGAGCAATACAAAACCCGGAAACTGTTTCGTCCCCAAGCGGATTGAGCACTCCGATTCCGCCTTTGAAACTTGAATGACCTTGCCTTTTCTGTAACGAAATGCAAAGATAAATTAGTCCAGAAAAGCATATAGAGAGTGTGAGATCCCACATCCGTTTGGGAGGAGAACGAAATATTCTTTATAAGGGGGTGGAAACCTCTCCTTATCAGACGCGTTTTAAAACCTTGAAGGTAAATCGAAAGAGGACAATATCTGCTAGCGGTGAGCTTAGGATGTTAAAACCGAAAAAGTTCAACAGAATACCTGCATTAATATGTTTGCCTCATCCTTAGCATTCAGAGAAAGATTAATGTTAGCTTCCTTAGATCGCCTCCCTTCCGCATAATATTTTGGGTCCTTGCCCTCAACTCTTGGTTGCCTGCAATGGAAGATGAGTTTATTATGAAGTTATATACCCAAGAGAGCCAGCCCTTACTGAACATCTTCCCAGCCTCAAATACTTGCTTACCCCCTGCAGCTGTGGAATTTTGCATCGATCTCTTTGCTCGGAGGATATTTGGGCAAACTCGAAGGGTCGCAAGCAAGCGGTTTAGTCGTAAAAAACTGAAGATTTATGAATATATGAGAATCTATGCATCAGAGTAACTTTCAAATGATTCCAAGGAAAGGCAGCAATACCTCGCTCTTTAAGGCAGCGGCTGCAGTTCCTCGATGAGCAGGATCTATAGATAGCAACTTATCCACGAGAGCCACCGCAGAAGATGGGAAATCCTTGAGCATTTCCACGACACAACGTCGGTATGGCTGAGCCGTCTTGAATCCAGTTGAATGAGGTAACTGCAATTTCCTCCAATAATTCTCGGGTGGCGACCCACAAAGTTTAAATATCTTATGCAACTGTTCGACCTGCAGAAAATAACTTCAAAGATTTCATATACATACCAAAATCTTTGATCTTGTTCTTTTGATCACTAGCAGCCTTAGCTAAATCATGAATAACAAGACAAATCTCTTAATAGGAATATAAAGATGTTCGACCTCTGTTTTTCCAGGCAAGATGGGCTTCCCAGCATATAGCTCAGCTAGTATGCAACCAGTACTCCACAGGTCCACTGCAACACCATAATGAGAAGCTCCAAGAAGAAGTTCGGGTGGTCGGTACCATAGAGTCACTACGCGACTTGTTAAGGGAACATGATTATGAGGGTCAAAATGGCTTGCTAGTCCAAAATCTGCAATCTTCAAGATACCATTGGCATTGATTAGGAGATTCGAACCCTTTATATCGCGGTGGAGTACACCATGACTGTGGCAATAATCAAGCCCCCTTAGAAGTTGTTGCATATAGCATTTAACCTTCCATGGCCATAAGCATAAAGTGTTAGGTTCTTGAGGATTGGATAGATATCATTAATTAGTAATGAATTCTAAGCAAAATTTACCTGTGGTTCGCTGAACTTGACGCCGGGCCGAGATGCGAGCCCTGTAAGATCGTGCTCCATATACTCAAAAATGAGGTACAAGCTACATGATCGTGGAGACGTAATCAAGCCTTCCAATTTTATAACGTTTGGATGATCAAGTCTACGTAGGATAAGGATTTCCCGGGCCATAAACTTCACACTCTCCACATCAAGATTATCGAATCGAACTCGTTTTAGAGCGACTAGTTTACCGTGAATGATATCACGAGCCTTGTAAACACTACTGTATGTTCCTTGTCCTATCTGTGAAAATAAAACCACCACCAAACCAAACAAAACAACAGCAAACTCAGACTGACAATCACATCAACAAACTACTTTCCAACTCCCAGATTCACAACTTTTACATACCTTGTCTAGTTTCTCGAACGTTTCGGCTTTTCGTGGCAGCCATCCCTCGAGCGCTTCACCAGCCACAGAGGAAAGCCAGCTAGGCCAACCAGCTGCAACTTGCTCAGCTTCCATAGCCTTTGGAATGCTTCCTTTACCAGGATAATTAGCAGAAATGGCTGCTTCCAACCTCTCCCTCTTCTTTTTCTCAATTTGATCATCATGTACCCTGTTTGAGCCGTTGACCCTCTTATCTAAGTAAGCAACCTTCAAGTCACCACCTTCTGGTTTCAGCTTCGATCGAATACCATCAGCTCTCTGTGAGGCATTTAGTCGAACACCTTGGTCCCTCTTCACGGAA